CTCTAAATCCATAAAACTCAGTAGTTGATCCCTGAAAACGAATTACTATCTTTCCACAAGCCCACACACACACACACGCACAGAAAGGAAACAGGTGAAAGAACAACCTATCGCTCCACATAGCCCACGGGCCATTCCATGGATACTAGAACTGGGCAATAAATGGTTTTTGACGAAGCCTCGTGCCAGAACAGCCAAGCTGTCACGCACGATTTCCAATTCTTACGCAAATCGATCCCCCTCTCCCTCTCTCCCTCCTTCCCCCCAGGTATGCGATCCCCGATTTTGTCAGTCAGCCTTGTGGCTAGAGCCTACAGTAGTTAGTTACTCCAGAACCACTCTGTCAACCCCTACCTACGATTTGGTTGCCTTACCCCTGGATCTTCACCCCCTCTTACTCGCAATCCATCCCGACCAATTCACCTGGTATTCGTGTCGTGCATTAAATGCCATTTTTCTTGCCGCGTCAGCGGGAGACTTTTTCTTGCTGTCCAGAGCAAGGTACCTTAAAAAGCATGCAGTCAGCGCGCTGATACTCGGTGTGCACCGCCGCTAATTTACTACGACTAAGTTGGCACGGGAAGACGTAACATACGGTATCCAAACCAAACCAAGCATTTCAGGTGAGATTGAGATCTCGAACTCGACCCAGCTATCTCCTTCAAGTCCTTATGTGCCAATGCAAGGGATCTCCGACGACGCAACAGCTTTTTTGGGAGGGGGGGAGACATTTCTTCCGAAACTTGGCTTCGTCCTCTTATCCTGATCTATCTTTCCATCCCACCCCCCTGTTCTAATCCAAGTGATGATTCTAGACGTAGCGAAGTCGGTTAGCCGCGCTTCACGCCAGGATAGACTAGATAGCCCGCTCAGTATTAGACCGCCTGGAAATGGTTAGACTGTTGGCAGGAACTTGTCCTTAGGTCTTAGGTTAGGGTTCAGACTTCCAAGCGTCGAGGAGCCTTAGTCTACAAACTTGTGGTCTAAAGGCTTCGTGGAGAACGGACCAAACTCTGTTGAGGGGCCGAATGGATCCTGTTACGAAAACTCTGGGGCACGACAACCGGGCCGGTCACTAGTGACAATATTACCTTGGTTGGCCTAAGATATTCCGACACCGATCCCTCTTCCAGTGGGCAGCAGGACAGGGACATGGCCAGAAGAATCCAGTATCAAAGTGATGCTGCACAGCTGGGAACTATGTGTTGATAGTTATTTCGGGAAACTCTTATTAGCGTCAGCCGCCATGGTACAATCCGCGACGTGTCCCGAACCAATGACTGTTGGGGCAAATGCCTGCTGCCTTGGGAAGGTACAACTAAGTAGTGGATGGATTGCTGCTGCTGCTGCGGGTAAGTAAGTGGGTGGTGGTCAGTAATAATAGTACGTAGTAGTTCTTCCAGTGGTAAATCAGCTTTCAACGCCTTAGGCCACCCGTCAGTCATTCCTCTTCTTGCCATAAGACACGCATTCACAGCCATCAGTTCTAGAAAACCAAATTCCAGTCTTCTATGCAGTCCACTCTTTTTTCGCTCCAGCCACTCATGCGGTTCTGACCGGACAAAAGGGCTTGCGAATGGGCAGGCACTGGAATCCGACCATGGTTAACCCCGTGGACTGAACCACGTCCCGGGCTGGAAAGTCTGTGCCCATCGAGCGGTTCGACCTTTCATGCATGTGCCCTGGATCCTGTCCCCTGTCCTAATGCCGAACATTCTGTGCTCCGTACTCCGGGGCAATTGTGCACACACAGGAGAATTACTGACAGATTGCTTATGAAAGGAGTATAATGTCGGTGACTCCGACCGGCTGCAGTGTTACTGGCTTGAATGGAGGAGGTAGCCTCCCATTTGAGGCCAGAGAGAGGTTCAAAAAAAGGAAGTCAAATGTAGGTACGCAGCAGCACAGGTTGAGATGCAGGTTCAGGTTCAACTGTTTTGTGCTGTAACCAGGGTGTATTGGCGACGTACGGTATGGTATCGGTGTGAAAATTCCTGACAACTTCCACATATGATCACCGTGGAATTGCCGACCATTGAGATTGTGGCATTGCTTTCCTTCATTACTTCGCCCATCAACAAGAAGCCTATCAGAGAGTCAGGAAAAAGATACCAATTCCGCTAGGGACCATGTTTTACATCACCGATCAGTTGTCCACTTAGGGACTCAGATCCCGGCGTCAAAATCACGGGTTGTTGGGGACTGCGGGATGGCGTCACTGCTTCTTGTTCGGGGCAATTGCAGCGGTTTTGATGGTCGGTCATGCGGCGGGGCCTGATCTACACAGCGCTGGGTGGATGTTCTCTTCCGCCAATTATACCCTCCATTCTGACTATAGTCGGGTCCCTTCGGGGCCTCCCTGAGTGAGCTCGCCCTGGTAATCCCACGGTATGGCCTTCTTATCCTTCGTCGTCAGCTCGCCAATGGACGGGAAACGCTCCCTCGGCTGCAATAAATAAGATGGAGTTTACCAGGTACACAAGTTCCCTAGATACTCTATGTGAACTACAACTCCACATTGCTGCAGCAGAAAGCTGAAGCTACTATTTCAGATAGGGAGGCATCTCAGCCAACAAAGCGTATTACTTGAAACACCAACACCCCGGCAACCATGCCGATGATAGGGTAGCCAACGGTAGTGTAGGAAGTTGAACATGGGTTATCTGAACACACCGGGGCCAGTTACTAAGTAAGTTAAGTAAATCTGGGTCACAAACGTATTGTGAATCGTACACGCTAGATAGACGGGATCCATTCCATTACCTGACCGTCTGCGCCTCCACTTACTACTCGGCGTAGTCCGTTGTTAACAGTTAGTTGGTTTAGTTACTAAGGACTTATTAGGATGACCCAGCCGGAGCCTAACCTAACTAGCATCATCCGTAGTTAGTTCCTCTTGACTAGTTAGCAACACGGCTAGGCTGACTTGCCTTGTCTGGGTGGATCATCATCCCGGGACTGGAACCTCCATTGATGATTCCCCAGATAGTTCCACTCAAATCCTCAAGCCGGTGGTGGTTATAACGGAATCACCGTTCTAGTCTACATAATGATAACAAACCCACCTCAATGATTACTTCTTGTTTGTGAGGAAAAATGGTTGAGGGAAGAGGAAAAAGAAAAAAGCAATCTACGTATCAATCGCATAACCGGAACCATTGAACTGCTTTGTTAACTACGTACGGATCGCGCCCGTCGTTTCCCCGTCGGCGAATTTACGCCTTGCGATTTTCTTTTCCCCCCAAAATGCAGGGCTTGATTTTAGATAGGCTGAGCTGCTTGCTCCCTGGTAGTCTACCAACTGACTAAGTACAAAGCAGACTAGACTAGTTCAGACACGACGCGGTGGGACCTGTTTCAGCCTACTGCGCACCGGTCAGCCCCAGCCAACGGACCGTGCCCGCGTTGTGGAGGAAAGTGATTGAAGGTATTTGTCTCTGGTGCTCGCTGTTGGGTTGTGGTGGAAACGAGACCGTGGGAGCCGCTATGGTTCTTACTATCAAATTGTTCCGTTTTGCAATTATGTAGGTCAGTTATCGGCGGCTGGGGTGATGAAAGTTGTTTTTTGGTATCAACTATGTACCCCGTATTGGTGAGCTCAGATTCGCTTACGAGTATTTTGGTGTCTCGAGCCGCTTCCTCTAGACAATCGGTGATGCAGGGGACATTTGTTGACGATCTTTGACAACGGGACTTTACTTACTGTAGTACTTAGTGAACGGAAATGGATGCAAAGAGCGACTAAGCCTATGCATTGCACCGCATTTAAGCCCATTGGCAAAGACTAACTACCTGCCAACCCTACTAATTTTCCGAGAATGAGGCCGAAGCATAAATACCTCGTCTGATATTATGCATCCGGTAGGAGTCACAGAATGATAATCATGCCATCGAAAACAAGGAACAGTTGAGGCCGTCCTTGCAAGGCACCAGATCGTCGTAAGGGGTAGTCGGATGCGAGCTGCACTCAATCCACATCCGGTGAGGTCCGCAATCGATTGGTAAATGAAGTAATGCCACCGCTGTCACGCGATAAATACTTTGACAATAAAACCCAGTAGATCTGAAGGCATAACAAACCGCAAATCTCCTCGGTGGTGCATGTTACTTTCGCAAGACCGACACAATGCATTGGCCGACGTGGCAGAGCTGTAATCTTTCCGTCGGTAGGAATTAGGCGTCTCGAACGTAAAGTTCAAAGTGCCCTCAAACGGCCAGTTGATCCGAAGAGCTGTATGGCAAGAGGGTTATACTCGGAATGTCGCATACATAGAGCTTCCGCGAACTTATCATTGTGATAGGCGAAGGCTATTCAGAGCATGAATATCACGCCGAAGCCTAGACAAGAGGCTGTTGTTCCGCCGCGACAACAGACTGCAAAACCGAATTGCTCTTCAGAGCTCGGACCAAGAAACGAACAATCGCATGCTGACTGCTAAAACACCGAGTCGGAGATTAAGTGTGAAGCTTGAGGACAGAGTTGGCTGCAAGTGAGCTCTCCTTGAGCGATAGGCGTCGTACAGCATCCTCACGTGAGCTCTCACCACATGGACCCGGAGTTTGGATATTTGAAGTCGGGGTTCTGGTGCTCAAATAGCGAAAAGATCCAAACTTATTAGAATCAATAGTAGTGCTCATAAGGAAATGGGTGATGATTGTAAATATTAGCTGGCAGCTGAACCTGAAGGACAACGGCTGGTGAAGTTACGGGTCAACCACACAAGTTCCAGGCAATCGCCTCATATACCGGATCAACATGGCGAGGTTGAGATAGTAGGAAAGGGATCCTGGCAGACAAAATCCAAGCAGATTTCATCAAGACAAACCCCTCCAGCTCGATGAAACTATTGACCAGACAAACTTCTGGTCGCCAGTGAAAGAAGCGATGGTCGAGTTCTGGGCCGGTGGGAAATAGTATTAATCCGTCGCTGGACGCAGAAACAAAAAGCCGGCCCTCCGCGTCGGCGCGATCATCCCAATATGAAACTATATCCTCGTCCCCGAATTCTCATCAGATTCGGTGCGATGGTATGCCTGCAATTCGATCGCGAGATCATGTTTGCTGTGTCCTGCTCGTCGCCGACGGCCTTCGGCGCTAACCCTTTCGAATTTCTCCCCGCCCAGGCAATTTTAGCCTGTAAAACCTTGCCTGCTGTTCGCGCGTCTTCCGTCCTTCAACTCTCTCCCTCCTCCACCATCCGGAGCATCGCTCCACCATCCACCTTCGCTTGTCCCTGGCGCTTTTATCCCATTCAGCCACAATGAACTCTCGAGACCACGCCGATATGCCTCCGGCTTCTTCCTACCCGTCCCCCAACGCGGCGCAGATGAGCCAAGGCGCCATGCAGTACTACAACCGCCAGTTGACCGCCGACGAACTTCTGTCAGCTGAGCTTTCGCGCGAAACCTCTGGACCTGGCCTCGCCGATGGCTCAAGCAATGGCGTCCACCATGGTCAGTCGATGGTTCTAGGATCCTCCAATCCTGGTGGCGCTGATATGGGCCGTCCTTCCTCCCCCGACCAGCACCAACAACAACATATGCTGCAATTCACCCCGAGCCAGCAAGTCGGAGTCGACCCCAACCACGACCTGAGCTATGGAGACCAGAGCGCGAGACGGAAGAGATCCAAGATTTCCCGGGCATGCGATGAGTGCAGGCGCAAAAAGGTACACTCGACACGCTTTTTCCATTTTCCTCATCTAGACGCGACGCGGGACCGGGTGAGCTAACATGTCACTTTTACCAGGTCCGTTGCGATGCAAGCTCGGAATCCGGTGTTGAAACTTGTTCAAATTGTCGCCGGCTTGGAGTCGTATGCCAGTTCAGTCGTGTTCCCATGAAACGTGGCCCTAGCAAAGGGTAAGGATCGCGATGCGCGTATGGGTTTGCCGTTGATGAAGTTTGGCTAACGTCGATGATAGTTACATTAAAGAGCTTGCCGAACGATTGCATACCCTCGAAAGCCAGATGCAACCTACTATGGTTCATCCCGACATGCCATATCAGACTATGAACGAAGTGTCTTCTCCAAGGGCGTACCAAGACTTCTCGCCACCAATCGACGCTGGCCCTATTGGTCGCAAGAGAACATACTCCGTGTTTGAAGGGCTTCCAAGCTCATCTTTCGCGCAGGCGCCGTTTAATACTCGCTCTCAGAATGCTTTTGGTTCGTGACCACCTGCCCGTCGCTATTGTAAGTTTGGGAGACTGACCCTGATACTAGAGGCTGGAGAAAGCGCAACGGATCCTTGCAATCCCTCGGTCGTGAATCACACCGCACCCAAATCCGGAAATCTCTTCTGGTCAACTGGCAATGAGACCGACTTGCCGGCTGGGCTTGACATACCCGAAGTGCCTAAGCAAGCATTGGACGAGGATATGACACCCTTGGATGTGGATGAAGGCGCTCTCAACGCGTAAGTTCTATAGTAGAGATGACTATTTGTAGGGCAAGCTCTCTAACCTCAAACAGGTACTACCAGAAGATTCACCCAGTCCTCCCCATTTTGCCACACTCAAAGGAGCGACTTCTTGAGCTTCTACACCAATGCAGCCGAGAGGTGCAGGAGATATTCCTGTACAGCTTGCTCACGGTGACACGTACCAACATGGATCGCATGACAAATGCGTTTGAGAGGGTAACATCGTTCGACAATGCACAGGATCTTCTCTTGTACTATACACGACAGCCTGCCATGCTCCGCCCAGCAGCTATCAACTTGGTCTGGCTCCAGACTTTACTCCTCATGATTGTTGACTGTGACTCGAGGGGCCCAGACAACTTCGTGATGAAGGATGGAGTGCCCAAGCACACTCTCATTCAATCTGCGACAAAGCTCGGCTCAGATATGGCGAAAGCCTTCGGACAGCTGAGAACCAAGCGATCGTCTGATCCAGACGTTGACTCTGACGCAAACCTTGTAAGGCGCAGTTGGGTCTCCCTGGCCCTTCTGTCTCGCTGGTATGCAATCAGCGTTGCTGATTACAGTGTTTTGGGGACGTTCGAAATCGGAGGCCGCGAGGACGAGAGAGTCCTAGGCTCCGCCACCGCGGGGATTGCATCGTACTCTACGATTCTCATCGACATGGTCACTCTCGTCGCTCAAGAGCACAACGTATGCCAGACAAACACAGGGCTGGGCCGTCTGGTTGGAGCGAACATGGTCGCAGGTCTTGAGCGTCTGGCCGAGGTAGCAGACTTCCGCAAACCGCACGAGAATCCCGAGGATGGCACAACTTATGGCTTCTTTGAAAGTCTACAAAACCAGCTGTACTGGACCAGTCGCCTCCTGATCAAGCGGCATATATTCGTTCATAGTCCATACGAAATTATTTACGCCGCGGAAGAGGTTATGAACGAGCTGCACAAGGCCAGTATGCAGTCCCGACTGGCGACACCATTCGACCTGCATAGTCTTGCGCTGGCATCCATGACTCTTCTCGAGGCTACTGTGCTTCCCGAATACTCGAACCAGTGCTGGGAGGCGCTCAAAAAGCTCGAAGAAATTCTCGACTACCGCTCCAAACGCTCCGCCGAGTCCGGTGAATACGGCGACATCTTTGGCACCCCGGGTTGGGATTCGAAGATCCGCGTCTTCCTGGAATGGAGACGAACCAAAACTCAGGAGACCCAGCTCCATGACCCCAGCCTCGGAAAAAGCGGCTCTGCAGCTCCGCCTGTGATGGGCCCGAATGAACAGCGCTCTCTCCAACACCTCGCTGACCTGGCTGTCGGTGCGGAAGGCCAAGTAGCCGCCAATGCCTCCTCTCCGCCCCCCGCCATCTCTGAACACAACCTGAATGCCACATCGCCAAACATGGCATCGGCCGCGCAACCGCATGGTCACGTGGTCGTGGACTTCACTCTACTCACCAAGGAAGGTTACCTCAACGTCTTCTCTGGGTTGATCTATCGTCGCCGGTAATCTAGGTTGTATACTGGGATGGGTTACAGGGGGTGTATTTCAGTGATGACTGTCTTTTGGAAAAATTGAGTTGATTCAATGTGGCTTGGATTCTCTCTTCTCTTCTTAACTCCCTCCCAAAAAAAGAAAATTATCGGCAATACCTCACCATATTAATGATTGCTTTTATGTGACTAGCGCAACTATTCTCTTCTTTTCGTGGTCCCTGTATAGCTAAATGGATATTATTCTTGCTTTCCCCATGTAATATAAGAATCGTAACCCATCGAGTAGTTTATAGTAGCTTTAGTTACCCGTCCCTGTAATATCCACATCTATTTATATCATACTGGCTGTCTACCTACGCCAAGACTTTTGGTTTCCGCGGGGATGATCATGACGATTCAGAGATGACATTACGCATTTGGACTCGTACATAGATCGAAGTATGATTTGTGGAGACTCTAGACTTACAAGCAATCTACATATGATTCTTTATCAGTTACCCTATACAGCCCGATTTCCTAGTTGGGCCTCTTACCTATTTAGTATAGTTACCTTATTAAGACTAGTGCAATTCCTATACTACAGAACTAACTACCTACCGACATACCTAACTACATAGGTATATAATCGATTAGTCTCAATTTATCTAATTCAATCATATAATAAGAAAATGGAATACCCCAAGACACGATCTCATATTGATTTCTGAATGATTCATACTTCAGACTACTACTACCTCCCATACAGTTGAGCATGCTACCCACCTTGCCCTGATTCCACAACGACCAAATATCATATCACTGTTATACGGAGCTGGACACCTTTGGGGGACCTCCTTCTCGCACCACCATCTCTGGTAGTATGATGCCACCCCCGGATTGTTCGCGGCGACATATTGCACCGAAAGCAGATGGCTCTAGAGCCGATCTTGGAAACGTACCGATCACACTAGACGAGCTCGAAATTGATTCGTACCCCGCATCGCGCCCTCGTACCGAAGGTTACTATGCATATGCCCTTGAACCCATTAACTGAGACTAATCCACTCACTCATCATGACACACAGGCCCAAGCTCTGCTCAAGAGAGTGTGATTGTCACGTGGAACGGAGAGGATGACCCCAAAGATCCATACAACTGGCCCCTTTGGAAGAAATGGCAAGCCACGGGCATTGGCTTGCTTGCGAGCTTTGTCTGCTCGATGAATGGGACCATCCTGACGGTGGCTCATACGGCCATTGGGGACGAATTTCACATTTCCGATGCGACGTTCCCCAATACCTACTGGCTAACAACATCTTGGGCTCTCGGAGCCGCGCTGTGTCCGCTTCTTCTGTTTCCTGTGATGGAGGACTTTGGCGTTCGACCTGTCCTTCTTACCACCTATTTTTGCTTTATTTGTTTTTTGATTCCGGTAGGGCTGGCACCAAACTTTGCCACCCTGATTGTGGTTCGATTCTTCAGCGGGGGATGTGTTCCGCTGATAAGCGACGCCGTTGCCGGTATTACATCGAATGTCTTTCACGGCGATCGAGCTCGGAGTGTCCCAATATGTCTGTACGTGACCATCTATCTGGCGGCGACAAGTCTGGGCCCGGTGGTTGGCTCTGCCATCCTGCAATTCCTGTCATGGCGTTGGATTGGGTACATCGAACTTATCTGGACCGCTGCTCTATTCCCGATTCTGATCTTCGGTCTGCCAGAGAGCCGCGGGCCGGCGATCTTACGCGCTGAGGCCAAACGACTGCGCCGCGAGGGGACAAATGCGTACACGACTGAGAAGATTGATCGGGTAGCATTGTCTCAGCTTATCCTGCAGAGCGTTCAACGGCCTCTGTACATGCTATGTACTGAAGGCGTCGTGTTCGTTGCGACGGTCTGGGCTGCCTTCAGTTTGGGAACGATATATCTTTTTACGCAATCGGTCGAGCAGGTATACAAGGAGCTATATGGGTGGGCTCCCATCCAGTGTGGGTATGTCCAAGTTGCGATTGTGATCGGGGAACTCCTGGGCGGTGGATTTTGCATCTTAACCGATCCCTGGTACTATGCATCTGCGACTCGCAATAGCGAGGCACCGGCCACGCCGATCCCGGAGGCTCGGCTTCATGTATCGATTATTGGTGGACTCTTTGGTGTCACGGGCGGCATGTTCGTGTATGGGTGGACATCGTACACTTTCATACACTGGATGGCACCCACCGTCGGCCTGGCGATGGTGGGGTTTGGGACGACGGCGGTCATCGTTGGCAATGCTAACTATCTCATCGACGCGTACAGCAAGTATGCTGCGAGCGCCCTCGGGGCGGTGGGTTTCGTCGAGAACATCTCTATCGCCTTTCTCCCTCTGGCCGCAGCAGCCATGTACACTAATATTGGATTTCAGTGGGCCAGCTCGCTGCTTGCATTTGTGTCCTTGGCCCTGGTGGCGACTCCTTTTGTGGTCCTCCAATGGGGCAAAGAGATCAGATCTTACAGCCCATTCATGCAGGAGGCCACTGTAGAGCGGAGGAGCGACTGTGCCGCGGCCGCAGATGTATAGACAACCAGGGCCTACAGGCGCTACCTTTGACGCGATTCTATGCCCAGCTGGTCTTGGTCTTGCACCAACCATGGGACAGCACAGTACTGGAGCCAGTGGAACTTGCTCAACTACCCGGCCGTCGTAGTATCTACCCCCATGACGCGTGCTGATAAAGATTGTTGAGATCTCTATAAGCCAGCAGCCCAGATCCACCTTATGAAAGCTGGCCGCGAATGTATATTTACCTTTTGTGCAAATTATCCAAAGCAAAGCCGCATTTGCAACGGATAACAAGACACGGTATGTTTTCGATCCACGACGTGACCCCACCACACGTTCTCAAATCCCTTCGCCTCCTGCTCCGCCCATACTTCTTCAAGCAACGGAATGGTGCTCCCAAACATCTGATACCGCGTCCGGTCATTCCACACCGAGCAGAACTGCACGATCTTCTGCCGTATCGATCGATCGCGTAGTTCGCAGCCCGCGAAGAAGAGCGGCAGCAACGCTTGCCGGGCGACCATGCTCTCGTCACGACACGCTACCACATGGTCCACAACAACCCGGGCCCAACGGACAACATGCGTTGGAATCGGGCTTCCCGTCTTCCATCGGAATTCGCGGTAAATGTAGAGAAGCAGGCCGTGTCTCCATGCCTCCGAGCAGTGCATACAATCTTGGTCTTTTTGGATGTCCTCTTCGCTACTACCGAAGGCAAGTGCGACAGGGGAGATGTGATGCCAGGACTCGAGCGCTTGTTCGAATTGGGCAATCATCGTGGTGTCGAAGGTCACGTACCGCATGGACGACGATTGGCGTTTTGCGGCACTCAGACGCACAACTTGCATGAGCAGCGTGACCACGCTGTGTGGGCACCCGCAGAGGTCAAAGAAATTCCACTTCCGATCATCGGGGTTCGATAGGATGGCTTCGATGTATGCGTACGGGAATACGCAGTCTTCTCGGGATAAGAGACTAATGATGGCATCCCACCTAAATAGTTTAGCTGGAAGGGCCGGGCTGATATTGCGTAAAATGGTTGGTTGGGTGGGGAGGGGGAGGTTATATACCACAACAGCAATCCTATTTGAGCGTCTGCCCGAGCGGACGTGGTCCATGCTTCGATTCCACCGCACGCTTCAATGAGGCCATAGGCTCCCTTGAGATGCGTACTCCAGTATCCAAGGGTGGATTGAGTTTCCTAACTTGCGTTATCAACTTTTAGAAGGTCCGAGCAACAGAGATAAAGGTGCAAACTAACGTCGAAGGAAAACAAGATCATGATCGCATCAAGCATGGAGGAGCCATATTCCACATTACCGGATGCGTTGAGACTCTCGCGGAGGAGTTTCAATGCTGTATGGTGATGGTCATCGGTTGATGGGCTCTTAACATGATGACCCGCTAAAGCCATCACCGCATGGACCAGAAACATAGGTTCTGGAACGATGGTTTTGTGATATCGAAACGGATTCATCTGTAAGTCGAACGTTAATGGGATCGTGCAGAATTCCATATTGTCTATGACTTGTTAGTGGGCATTGACAGGAGCGACTGGAAGCGGAATAAGCGCACATCTTTGAAGGATAGGCCAAAACCGCTGCCAGGGGTTATTGTACAGTACGCTCGGTGGCATAGTTGTAGTAGTGTTGGGGAGGTCTGGAGCTGCCATGGGACTTGACTCTATAGTAGTAGTAGTAGTAGTAGCGACTTGACTCGACCATTCATAGAAGGCGTCTCCGTCAGCTAATTGTAGCTGTCCGTCGTCTGTCGGTGTAGATGAACACGGGGTTTGACCTTGGTCTTCATCACTGTTATTGCGATGCGGCTGTAACCCAGCTGTCTTAGGATCAGCAGCTCTAGTTGGCGATGTATCACCCAAGACCTCAGATGGCGTCTCTACAGAGAGGCTTGCTTCCTCGGAAATGTTGACTTTGAGAACGAGTTTCATGTTAGCCAACAACCGTAATTTACTGATATTAGTCTTTTCTTAGAAGCCAGAAAAGGACAGGACAATACCATCATGTTCGGGGTCTTTTTGCCCTCGTAATTAGCAATATGTTCAACAGCGCTCCGGCGGAGGGCGGTAAAATAATGGCTAAGATTGAAAATGTATGGTCTTACGATCTCTCATAGGATATTCTGCAACAAACACAAATTGCTGAGGTCCATCTGCATTTCCCAACTGACCCCTATTGGACCTACGGGCTGCTGACCTTCTTATGGGCCTATTGGAGAGAGAATATCCTGGCTTCCAGGATAGCTGCATTCTGACGCGTTCCGTGGATACCAACTAGGGTATGGTCTGGTTGTTCGCAATGTTCGCCTCGAGCATTGACGGATACCTTGTGGAAAGGGGCATCCTATGAGGGGGCGGTTGGGAGCAGAGAGAGAGAGAGAGATCAGGTACTAGGCACCGGGTTTAAGCTTAGTAAGAGTATAGTATAGTATCTTAACGTAATCAACCACCGAACCGCTCCAAAATGCTAATACCGAAGAGTGCTCCTGGGCAAGTGCAAGCACAAGAAAACCCCCCGACGCAAACTGAGGACGATCATGATTTCTGATTCCGATGTCGAATCTTTAGGTCTGTTAGTAAAGTCATGAGCTAATGGTAGGATCCTGCGCAATGACGAAGTAGAAAACCGTACATTGTATACTTAGGGTTTCGGTGGTTCTTTAACCATCTTTGGTTACTGCATAATTCATCAATCTCAATCCCTTGTGCTATATAATATACAGTTAAGCAACAAAAAAATATACTAAACATTAAACCCTTATCTTATCTCCCGAACGCAATCCTCTGCCATATCCCTTCTACATCACGACAAAGCTCGAGGAACATATCGTCTTCGAGCTGATTGCAGATCCACGTTTCTAAACTAGCCATACGCTCTTCGGTGGGGTTGGATATATATGAAGAAAGATCTGCTGTCGTTAGAGCATCCAGAGTCTTTGCTTGTTGCGCCTCTCCTTGCTTCCCTATCGATAGTTTGCTCGCTTCGGTTCTCTCGGCTTGTAGGTTGCTAGTGATAGATGGGCAAGATGGAACAACTGGCGGATTGGCTTCTTTTAGGCACGGAGGTTGATTATATGGTCCTGTGTGAGCTGATATGTTTGGTCTCGACTCTGGATGAGGCTTTTGTCTGTCGTTTCTGGCGTTGGGTAATTTTGGCGGGAGTAGTCGTAGGCGAGGCATAGTAGTCATTTCGCCTGATGTGGCTGGTCGTGCTTGCGTTTGCATTTGCATTTGGTTTAAATGGGCAATTGGGGATGGTTTGATAGATTTTTGGGAATTGTTGGTTGTATCTGTTGCTTTCATGAAGGGTTAGTGCACGTGTAGAAGTGACAGAATTTATATCTAGCCTCCGTACCAATTTTCGATGAGGTATCACTGGTGACTGTCGCGTATGGGACAGCGGGTGGTGCTTTTGTCATGGTATTTCCTCTCTTGGAAGTACTCGACCATGGAAGAACTCTCCGTGGTGGTATGTTTATCTCTGGTTTGAGAAGACGTTCAGCAGCTGACGAGGTGAAGGGCCTTGATGTGATTATTTCGGAGCTTGTCACGTCCTTCTGGCCGACTGCTGGGGCGTACTGGAATGGTGTATGTGCTGTTGCAAGGGAAACTTGGTCTTTGCTCCCCTCAGCACGGTTCGTATCACTTGATTGAGCAGTACTCCATGATGTAGATGGTAATGAGTTGCCTGCTGGGGTCAGATAGATAGTACTGCGCCAATGGCGACGGAAAACCCACAAGCTGTAACGCTAGATGACGAACCTGATGCACCGGTGGTCGATGAGCGTTGGAGACTAGAAGCACCCACAGGCTCAGATGAACCTGGCATACTACTCAAGCTATATGGAGGTCCTCTGCCCATAGATGTCCCTTCGATCGAACCCGAGTTCCATTGCGACGAGGTCAATTTGCGCATATTTCCGACGCTAGGCTCTGAGACTGGACACCCTAATTCTCTAAGAATAGACAAAGCGGTGTAGTAGTCGGAATCGAAGCTGAACTTAATTTGAAATCGGCGGACCTATGATGGTGTTGGTTTCGAGTCAAAACATATAGCCTCTTTTCGTACCGTATTCCCCCTTGGATATTTCACTGCAAGGCATGGTGGCTTCACGACCACTGCGAATATTGGCTTGGATACTGCGTGTTGACTCGAACGGGTTATATTTTCAGCTTCGATAATGAAGTGAGTGAGGTCAATCTCTTCCTGAAAGCCACTTCCATTAGCATCTGGCTTTCCTCTGCTCCTATCCCCAAGATGACTATTACCAAGCTTTCATGGACACGGAGGACCTTCAATAGTACTCTGTCTGGGGTGAAGCTTGTCATCGTGCGCCTCTCAAATATAGCGGTCATATCTCCGTTTCCCATTATATGACTCCAGTTGAGCGGGCCTCTGTGAGTAAGCGATGTAGTTGTATGGGAGAACTTGGCTAATGATAGACGAGTAAGAACAGTTGAATCGGGAGGATGTTGGGCCAGGCTTTGCATCATGCGGACTGAGATGTGGATATGGAGGGACAAGTTATGTTAATGAGAATGCAATATATAAAGACTATTATGATAGTCAAACTATGGTGAGTGATATGAAGGAGCTGATGAGGGGCACTAGGAGACAAGGAAATGATATGGTGCTTGGAAGTATAGAGCAGGTGACTGGAGGCTAAGCCTAATATTGCCAACACGGATAATACACATCTTTACTGTCAACCATAGTATCAGATACCAGACAGTAGAGAGATATAAAAACTGAACTAGAATAGACAGCAAATAGTAGTGTGTCGGGTCTCGAATGCGCTGCTTTGGCAGAGAGAATTTATTTTTTTCATGTAGAAGCTACTGCTCGTCAGTAGTCAAATGCTCGCGATATAGTATACCAAAATCAGTGGGATCCCTTGTTGCTCCTACATCTCCTACACTGGAGGTCAGAATAAGGAAGAGGAAGTGAGAGAGACCAATGCAAGCCATGATGATCGACGAACCCTGATCTACCGGTATAGTGGGTGCCTGATATATGTGGTGGTAATTCAGGCACTCCCTGTGGTGAGGATTACTCATCCGGCCAAACCAGACAAACCAAGCAAACATGACCGGAAACGAGCATTCCGGAACAACCAAGACTCCGGCCACGCGCCTGAGGCCAGAAGGAGCAGCAGCGCGGACTTTTGCCCTGCGGATGAACGACGGACGGATCGATCGCAGGATCAGCTTGTCTTCATATTTACGCTGCGCCCTCTCTCCCCCGGCCTTTGACAAAGGAATTGACGCCTCTCCTCGGGTTATATCTGTCGCTGCTACTCCTCGATAATCTGCGCAGTGACTCTTTCGATTAAACCTCAGAGCGCTTCTCACGCGAACGTCTGTTGTTGTCCCGTTGTCGCATCCTCTCTGGTTTCAAATAGGCAGTTCTCCGATAGCTTCATATCGCGACCCAGCTCTCAGCCCGTCACCGGAAAACATCCCTCGAACCCAGCAGGCAAACAAACACTCCGAAACACACGAACTATCGATACCACACCAACATACTCCGATCGTCTGAGAAAGCGAATTCGGAACGATATTCCAGAAGGACAGGAAGAACGGGTTTCGAGAAACGGAGCATTTTCGACTCCAACTTCTTTTTGGCGCGTTTAAATAGCGAGGTCTCGCGCTTCATTTGCGGAAGGTGCCCTTGACCAGTAGACTGGGTCCGTTGGGTCAACCTTGGTCTTTCTCAGAGGTATTCCAGGGCGCCCTAGGAGAACCGGTTATCCCCTTCGAAGTCGCGGAGCGATACTCTCAATCGGTTTTTGGCGTGCTCGAATCAAAGCCAACATGTCTTCCCAAACCCCCCGCACGTCCCTCCGAGGTAAGTGCTACCACTTTCATTTTGCCCCCGTCACTTCCGTTTTTGTTGAATGACCAGTGCTAACTGTCCGTAGAGGGCTTGCGGCAGGCTCCCAAGGCCAACCAACCATTCATTCCCGATACTGCTCCGGTTCGGCGCTCACATCACAACTCAAATCAATCACCTCAGCCAAGCTCGATGTCACAAACGCATTCGAATTCCCCCGCGCCCAACTCAAACAACTCACACTTACCCACGGAGGGCTGGGACGGCAAAGAGCAGAAAGTACCTATGAACACACGCGAAGTAGCAACGCCAGGCAACAGGCCGGGCCTCTTCCTCACCGTGCCGGGCAAGGTGGCTAAACAACCTGATTTCTATGACCCTTACTTTCCCCTCAGATACCTCGAGGTCCCCAAGTGTGCGTAGGCCTTTACAGCAACCCATGATTATGACAATAATACCACTGACACGCTATAGCGGACCATATCTATAAGCGCGCCCACTACGGCCTGCAATCTGGTATATCAGACGAGGTCGATTTCGCTCTGTACCATCTTGTTCAGATTTCCAACCAGCGCTGGGACAAATTCAAGTTCGAGGGGTTCCCTTTGCTGGCCGAAACTCTCATGGAGAAAGCCATTGATGTCTCCATAATATGCACGGGCGTAAAATGGGAACTCCAGTATGAATACCGCTATCCTATGGAGCGCGTCAATGTCCTCAACTCTCTACACGGAACGCGCGATTTGCTCGAGAGGATCAAGAGAATTCCCGTCACTCTGCCTAATGATACTCTCGAAACGTACGAGTTCAACCACCGTCTACGGAATGTGAAAGAAGCTACGCTGGTTCTCCGGAATATGGTTCTACTCCCTGATAACGCTTTTTATGTCTCACGTTATGCGAAGGGACTTTTGAGGGACTTCTTGGTCATCCTGCTCAACCTTCCCAACCAGCCTCGCCTCAATGAAATCAAGAACGATGCGTTAGACATTGCGGAAGAGGTTACCAAGTTCTTGAGGACCGACCCAGAAGATCCGCTTTGGATCTCCCTCCTTCAATGCCTCGAGTCCCCAGATCGTGCCCACGTCGTTCGGGCGCTCTGGGCGCTCACCCATTTCTCCACTGAAATTAACGATTCTGAGGGTAACCAAGCACTGGAACGCATGCCAAAACAAGCTCTGCAACAAATGTACTTCCATACTCTTCTGGACTTAGACAAGGACATCCTAAGCGGAGCGCTGGACTTTTGGTACCAGTACACGCTTTCGCGTGAGAACATCGAGACCATGCTTGAGATCTTCGACTTCCCAAGCGTGTTCGTTCCGCGAATGATCGCCCTACTAACACACGAGGCGCGTCCAAGCAAGAAAGAGACAGTTCTCCAGGAAGAGAAAGTCGCACCGCCGCCATCCGAGATCCCTCGTGTGCCGGCAGAGCTACTGAAAGATCTAATGGAGCTACAAGAGCCTGAGCGTAGCTCACGCTGGTTGCGCTGTTGCTTCGTTGAGGATGCAGAGTGCGAAATCACCCAAATAGCCCTGTGGCAGGCATATCAGAGCCGATTCGCAGACCCCCGGGTACCGGGCGGTGGTGTCCTCCCGGCCGCCGAATTCATCAAGAACGTCAGCACGACATTCACAAATGCGCAAGCGCAGGTCATCAACGGGCCTGGCGCGGCGACTCGCTTCATCATCAAGGGCATCCGTCCGCTAGAAACGGCCCACACCTTCCGAGGATTTCCCTACCAATACTGCAAATGGGCAGATAACTCGAAGCCCTCCAAAACCTGCCAGCGCGCTTTCACCACCCCCACCGACCTGCGCAACCATGTTTTCGCCGACCACATGGAGCTCAAGCCCATGGAAACACCGGGCCACTACAACCTGGACAATGCCGAATCCCCGGTCCACACGTGCCTCTGGGACAACTGCACGCGATTCCGCTCATCCGGCCCCAGCAACAACACCGCCATGGTAGCCGGCCATGTGGCATCACACCTGCCCGAAGAGCGCCCTGCCGATGCAGAGCCCCCAGTCTCCAAGCGCGCTGTACTTCAAGAGCGGATCGTCCGCAAATGGTTCTACATGGATACACCAGTCAATGAGAGAGGCGAACCCTTCGGTGTAGCCTACAAGGCGGCGTTGGTCCTGCGCAACATCGCCAGGAACTTACCGACCGGCATGGCTCAGAAATACAAGGGGCTCTCGTGGAAGAAAGCCGTATTCCTCAGTCACCGGCCGAAGATCGTGGAAACGTGGGACCGCAATCGGTCCCTGCGTAAGGAACTAACTGAGTTGATTATGATAATAGAGAAAGAGGATTACTATTGAAAATGAATAGGTGACATGGGGCAGCGAGCAGCGAGCCTCAAGCAACGAACGAACTTTCATGTTATCATCATCATCATCATCATCATCATTATCTTCATCTTCATCTGGCTAACTATTGCATTTGCTGAGTTTCATTCCATTTTTACTTTGATATATTGCTGTACAAATACCCTGGAATTTTTCCTTTTTCCTTTTTTTCTTTCTTTCTTTTCTTCCGTTTCTCTTCGTGCGGTGGTGTGGTGAACTCATTTCTCATTTCCAAAATTTCTTCCCTTTTCCCGCGTCAGGGATTACACTAAGTTCCCATAAATCCACCCTTTCCCACTCCTGTTCATTATGTATGGTAGTAGTCAGGGCATGACGTTTTGGAGAGAGAGGAGTTTGATATGATCTTTATCTCATATTTTTTTTTTCTTTCTTTCTTGTAACGGTGGTGAGAGGGGAGCTTTGACCGGCAAT